GCTGGAGCCAGGAGCCTCCACAGGGACAGGAAGGGGTAGAAACAGCTCAGGTTATTAATTTGCAGCTTACTCATGGGTCTCTTCCCTGCAGACCGACTGCAGCAAAGTGCTTAGCCAAGGCTTCGGGGGCGAGCAGGCGCAGGCCAAGATCGACAGCTGCCTCTCGGACATGGCCGCCGTCTCCAACAAATTTCGTGACCTGCTGCAGGTGAGTGTCTTGCTGAGTGACTGCTGGCCTCCAACACTGGCTGGCCTGGGTCTTCAGGAAGAGCTCAGGCAGGAATCGTTTCAGCCCAAGGCCTGTGCCATGTCTGACTCCAGGAGTGCTGGGTTGGAGTGCAGGAGAGAGCAAATCAGTCAGCTTTGAGGCATGGAAACAGATCCAGCCTGTTTGCACAGCCGCACCAGCTGGCGGCTGCACGAAAAGCACTGGAAGCAGCTGCAGAGCCAGGAGGAGCGTTGCTCCATTTGTCCTCACTCAGCACAGTCACAGTTGGTTCAGCATTTCCAGGAGAAATATTAATAGCATTTCCATCTCTCTCCTGTAGCGCAGCGCATTGTCAAGTTGTCCAGAGCCTCGCTAGGTAATGCTGAAGGTAGAGAAAGGCTGCACACCTCAGGTTTCTCCTTCCCCATACGGAAATACTCCCTGGCATGGGGCAGAAGGCTCTCTGGCTAAATCCACTGTCTTGTGTGACATGCTGGCACCTGTTGCCTTGAAACTTCACAGTGGCCTCTGGCAGGGAGGGGAGCAGGAAGAGCTGGTATCTCCTGTGGAAGGAAGCCAGGCAAAACAGAATATTTTGAGCCAGGTTTGCCATGAACTTTGTGCTCCACAGAGGGGCCAGACCATTTTTTGTTTGGCTTTGCGGTTCGCTGCAGCCAAATGCCTTCAAAAGCAGTATTGCCAGCAGACACTCTTGAGGCCTGTGGACAGTGTAGAAACCAAAGAGCTCAGCAGCAAGGAGTGAAACTCTCCGGTCTAGCGCTTGTGCAGTATTAAAACCGGTTGCAAAGCAATCAAGAGGCTGAGCAGCGAGCTCCTGCGCTGAGTCACACACACATTCAATTTGCCTTGGAAAAGGGCAGTCGCCAGCAGGGCCTGCTCAGAAATGCCAATGGTAGTTAAATACTTGCTTCAAATGCCACGCAATATCGGTACCTGAATAGTTTCATGCTGGGTGAGCTTTCTTGACATCTTGCTGAGCCAAATGGGGGTGGTTGGCAGGAGAGGGCTTTTGGAGAGCTGTGGCACTGAAGCGGACAGAACAGCCTTCGCTGTCAACCTGCTGCTCAGGGGAGACGGCGTGTGCTGGGGTTATGATTAATTCAGGGAACTAGCTGTGGTTACAGCTTTTATCCTCCTTTTAGCTTCCTCCACTGAGCTTAGCTGCACTGGAGGTGGGAGCCATCAGTTGAGTCCGATCACAGCGTCCTCCTGGCTGGCGCTGAGTGGAAGGGCTGGTGTTTGCATCCCTTCCTGCCCTGGTGGGATGTGAACTGAATGCTTCTCTCCCGCCTCGAAACCTCTGTAGCTGTGCAGGCAGGGCTGGGAAAGCACCAACCCTTCAGACCAGGCTGCGAGCCAGCACAACAGCAGCTTCTGGACCTACATCCTTCCTCTTTGTCCCCAGCACCCTCCAGCACCAGAAAAGTGTGGGATCTGGAACTTCTGTTTCTGGGACTTTCAGTTCCCTGTGCAAGTCTGTGGCTTGGTTTCGCCAGCTTGCAGCAAGGGTGTGAGGCAGCATCGCGATAGCCTGGCTGTAAAGGTTGTGTCGTTGGGTGTCAGCTGTGTTCAGTCACGCTCCTCTCCTCTTCCTGTCCCCCTCAGGAAGGTCTCAACGAGCTGAACAGCACGGCCATCAAACCCCAGGTGAAGCCCTGGATCAACCTGTTCCTCTCTGTCTCCCACAACATCGAGGAGGTAAGGCTCAGCGCACTCTGCTTCCAGCCATCCCTCTGCACTCTCCAACCTCTGCACAGCAGCAGTCAGAGCAACTGCTGTCTCATTCCCCTTGGTTCATGCTCTGCATCCCAGCCTGCAAAGGGGCATTTCACTAGAGAGGAGCTTGAGAAAGTGAAGGGAGTGCAGTGCTGCTCCCTCCCTGTCCTCTGGGCCATTTGCTGCTGTTCAGGGCGGGCCACGTAAAAAACTCTTTGTATTTCAATGTCAGGAAGAGTTCAGCGACTACGAAGCTAATGATCCCTGGGTCCAGCAGTTCATCGTCAACCTGGAACAGCAGATGACAGAGTTCAAGGTAAGAGAGAGGGACGGGGCAGCCTCCCAGACCTCCACGTGGCGTGTCCCAGCTATTCCCCTGCTCAGAGGAACAGCAGAGATGTGCCTCACAGGGCTCTTAAGAAATCATTCACCCCCTTCTCAGTTTTCAGAGTTGGCTTGCAGGCCCTTCATACCTGGATCGCTTTTGCTGGCGCTTTCCATTCGCTGAGCGTGCAAGTGATGGGTCTTTACTTGAAAGCTCCCCTGGGCTTGGGTTTCGTGGAGCTGTGCTCAGTTCCTGTCAAGAATGACACAGGTTTCTGCTTCCAGGCTGGGCTGTCTCCAGTGATTTACGATACCCTCACTGGTCTCATGACCAGTCTCATAGCCATCGAGCTGGAGAAAGTGCTGCTCAAATCCACCTTCAGCAGGGTAAGCCAAACACTTTCCTCTACCCTATAGTCTGGCTTAGCTGCAAGCCCTCCACCGTGAAACCCTTAGTAAAGGTATGGGGCAGGGCAGGGGCAGTTGTTGCCCTCTGAGAAGCTCTGCCACCACTGGTGGCCAGCTTAGAGAGACCTTGCATTAGCAGACACAGGGTGAAAGCGTATTTCGTAGTGGGGCTGGGAAGCGCTTGTATCAATGAGAGCGGCTTTTAGAATGGGTCTAAACTTAAACCAGTTTAACCTGCAGTGAATGGTCTAACAGAACCCTCCTGCTCAGACACCTCTCCCTGCCCTCATACCTTTTGTTAATTGTCTTTGGCACAACCCCTGGGCCTGCTTGAAGAGTTAACGGAGCTCCCCTGGTTCCTACAGCTCGGCGGGCTGCAGTTTGACAAGGAGCTGAGGTCTCTCATAGCCTATCTCACCACGGTCACCACCTGGACTATCCGTGACAAGTTCGCTCGTCTTTCCCAGATGGCCACCATCCTCAACCTGGAAAGGGTGAGCTCCTCTTTGCTTTTATTGGGGGACTGCAGGAAACCCAGCTGGACTCCACATGGACTTACTGGGCTCATCCAGGTGTTGTCACACCTATAGCAAAGCTGGAAAAGTTGCCCTATGCCTGACGGGTGTTTGCCTGCAGGGATTAGTGGCAGGAAATACTGTGACTGTAGCCAAGGTCTGAACTCACGGTTGGTGCCGAGTTGTTTCCTGCAGCTCTCCTCTTTCTCCAGGTGACTGAGATCCTGGATTACTGGGGCCCAAACTCTGGTCCGCTCACCTGGCGCCTCACCCCCGCCGAGGTCCGGCAGGTGCTGGCTCTCCGAATCGACTTCCGCAGCGAGGATATCAAGCGGCTGCGCCTGTAGTTGGCCGGTGCTTGGCTCAGCACCATGCTGGAGGTAACGGCAGGATGGCTGCAGCCCTGGAGCCTGCCCAGGTCCTGCCCTGGGACTGGCTGGCTGTTACATGGTATGGGAATGGGGTGATGTATGCCCTTCTGCTCGTATTCCTCAGAGCAAAGGGCTTTCCTGGGCCTGGGAAGAGCTGCCATCCTTTTGTGGGAGCAGAAACAAGGCGGCAGAGGAATCTCTCACATTGAGAGCAGCGTGACACTATTTCTGAAAACACGTGCTAGTCCAAGGGACAGGCTTGTGCCAGCTCCCAACTCCATTCTGCTGCCCCACAGGAAGCCACAGGCCAGGACATCTGGGGGCTGTGGCGTGGTTCAAACACGGGTCTGTGCAGTGAGCTCTGCCCCTGCTGCTGGCCACATTCACGTTCCTTCTTTGCCAGCAGTTTAAGGGTCAGCTACTGGAGTCCTGCACATCTGAGCCCTGGCTCTCTCCTAGTGGTGATAGGGACTGTTGTGCAGAAGGGAAAAGGAATTATTTCCTTGTGGGGAGAGTGCTTGGAAAAGCCCTAAAGCTGCTGTAGGAAGGGCTCGCTGTGCCCTGTACAGCTACTGTAAATAAACCTTGCCTGGCTGAGCAGTGATGTCGGGTGATGTGTGTGTCTGTGGGCCCAGAGGGAGCTGGAGGGATAAGAGCTCTTCTACCCTGTGCCATGGCATCCAGACCTTCCTGCCCCAGCTGCCATTGACACAGCACAAGCACAAACATCTGAGATGGTACCTGGTGCCAGCCTCCTGCTCGGCTGCTTCCTGCAGCAGCGCTCCTCTGCTGTCCTCTGTCACCCAGGGCTATGGAGGACAACGAGCAGTCCCTGCACACAGATTCTGCCTTACCCAGCCCTGCAAGGGCTTTGCTGTCCTGTGGGGAGGGAGGAGCAGCCCTGCTAGGGACAGAGGGGCATAAACACAGACTGGGAACAAGGTTTTTTTATTCAAAGAGACTGCAGGGACTAGCGATTCACTGCAGAAAGAAGTCTCTCCACACGGGAGAGGGACTCGATTCCACATCTATGGTGCATCCTTGGTGCAGGAGCATTGCATGCCAAATGGGCAGCGTGGGCCCCTGCTGCTGGAAGAGCAGGAAGGTTCCTGCTAGAGGCAGCATCACAAATGCTATTCCTTTCCCTTTGGAGAACTGTGAAAACCAGGAGTGAAACCCCAAGATCAGGCTGGAGGCCCTAGCAAACAGTCCTTCCAGCAAGGCCACGCTCTGGGGACAGTTTTACCTGCCCAACTTGTCACTGTTTCTCCAGCCTCTGTGGCTTTTGGGGCAAGTCTCAGCACAAAAAGGCCACATCAAGACCTAAGGCACCTGCAGGAGCTGGCTGACAGGGCTGTGGGGATTCCTCTGCTTTGCAAGGCAGCTGGCTGCTCCTGCTCTGCACCTCTGCCAGGAAGGGGTGAGGGCTGAAGGCCTTCACACAGCCACATCCTCTCCAGGGTAAGCACTGTCCTTCAGATCACATCCCACGATCTCCACGGAGAAACCACCTGTGTCCACTTCAATGCTGTGGATGCTGAAGTTGCCCAGTCCCTAGGGAAAAAAAAAACCCAAACAAATTAGGGATTGGGGCAGGAGCCAGCGAGGAACCTGTCTGCACCTCCAAGGTCCTGGGGAGGACTAAGGGGTTAACAAAATCTCACCCCACTCCTGGTGGGACAAGCTGCTCCTAGTGCTTGTGCTATATAAAGCAAACTTCTACAAGCCACCTGCAACAGCCCCTGGGAGCTCACATCTCACCTCAGTTTTTGCTAGAATTTGGTGCAAAGCCTCTTTCTGCCGAGGGGCTTTGGTCAAGACGTACAGGAAGCCGCCGCCACCAGCCCCTGCCAGGCACTGCCCGTAGACGTAGGGCCGGAGAGCATCCATCATGAGCCCCACGGCCAGCGGCTCGCATCCAGGGGCCATGCATTTCTTCTGCTGCCAGTAGCGGTCCAGACACTGGCCGATGAGTGCCAGGTTACCTGAGGGAGAAGATATCGCAAACCATTTACCTCTATTTCTTACCCAAAGGGCAGAAACCTGGTCCTGCTCAACTCGAGCTAAATTCCATCTTCTCTACACAGTTCCTCCCAGCTCTGTCTGCCAAGCAAGCAAACCCAGCCCTGTCACGTCGCTGTTTATTTTTAATCCTCCACAAGGGGAGAATTTTCTTGCTTTAATGCTCCAGCTTCCACTCTGCAGCATCCCAGCAGCCAAAGGCCAAATGAATCCAGTGTACAGGCTAGGCATGGCCCCCAGCCCCATCACTGATGGATCGCAGAAAATCAACCAGACTTGACATGTCTAACTGCCCTCCTTCCTCAGAGTCTTCATTCAAGCCTGAATTTGGGGGCATTGCCTGTAATGTGCCAGGTTTGGGGCATTACCAGTAATACACCAGGCCTGGGGGGAGGCTCTGAGGATTTTGCAGCTGCACGAGCCTACACCATCCCAGCCTTTGCCCCCCCCAGGACCACACAGACTCTCCCCAGGGGTGTTTGTGCTTCTTCAGTCACCAAAAGGACTGGCCTGGCCCAGGAAAGGGGGCTCACACCTTGCCTCAAGGCCTGGGTGCACTCCTCAGCGTTGCTCACCAGCGCGTCAGCGTTTTGCACGGTGGAGGGCAGCCTGGCGTACCAGTTCCTCACCACGTCCTGCAAGAGGCCAGAGCGTCCCTGTCACCATCCTGCTGGCTCCAGAGAGCGAGCGCTGCACCCACAGCCTTCAGCACCAGCTCCCTTCAGGGTGGCAAAGCTCTGCCCTTTTTGTACAGGCACCAAAGACCATGTAGGGTGCAGAGGTCAGAGCCTGCAGCACCCAGGGGCCCGCAGGTGTTACCTGGAGCAGGTTTCGGGCCAGGCGAGTCTTCCCTGTGTACACCAGCAGCAAGTGATCGTTGAGGGTCTGGATAAAACCATCGGGCACCAGGATCTTCTCCACCTCAACTCTGAGTGGCAGCTGTGCCTTCGACCTCCCGATTTTGATACCGGGCATGAGTCCGCCCACCTGGTCCTGCCAACCACCGCCTGCAGGGCAGAGGGTCCTCAGCCACCCCTAGGCCCTCCCACCCCACGGGCCAGCTGCTTCCCCTGACCGCTACCTGTCGTGAGCCTCTGCTCCAGGTGCAGCACAGCGTGGATGAGGGACTCAGTGCTGGCAGCTTTCCCAGCTGCCCGGTACAGCGATGCCATCACCGCTCCCGCCAGGATGCTGCTGGTGCCTGCAGGGAGCACAGGGAGGCCAGGGCAGTGAGGGGGATACCCCATCCTGGTGCTGGCAGAAGGACCTCCTCAAGCACCAGTGAGGGAATCCCCAGCCCTTTCCCTGCAGACTTACCAAGACCAGACCCATGGGGCAGCTTGGACCAGGTGTGCACCTCAAACCCGCCCCCGAAGTTCTCCATCAGCTGGGCCCGCAAGGGCTTCTGCGAGGGGAACTGCACGACCTGGGTGCAGATGAAGGCAGCTTTGAGCAAGGCTCCTGGAGACAAGAGAAAAGCAAAGCTGACGCCTGCTGCGCTACCTGCTCCCT